TATGTATCTATGCATGTATGGTTGTTTGTATGTATATATGTATTTATGTATGCATATATGCATATATGCATATATGCATATATATATATATATATATATATATATGAGTGTGTGTGTGTGTATGTATGTATATGTTATAAGTGTATGTATGTATGTATGTGTGTGTGTAGTAGGTATGTATGTAGGTATATATGTATCTATGTGTGCATGTGTATGTATGTATTCATGTATGTTTGTTTGTATGGTGTGTGTTTATAAGTTTGTAGGCGTATATATATATATGTATATATCGATATTGTCTATACATATGTGTCAATATATGTTGGTTGTTTTTCAGAGAATTCAACCAGTTGTTAGATGCATATTCTGCATGGGTACATGCAATCTTAGGGGTATACAAGTACATAGTCACATTACGCACACCTATACAAATATCAAATATATGCGTTGATATATGTATTTGTATATTCTCTCAGTATACATGTATATCTATACAAACGTGACATATAATCACATGTATACATCCTTATATAAGTATACCTGTGTATATGTATACATACATATACACAGCTGCATACACCCATACAAACACACGTCTCTATTCACACAGCCTTATCAGCAACTCATCACACCTCATTACACTCCTACCCGTTCTCAGGTGAGCGTGAGTTCATTATCAATGAGCCGATTGCCCCCAGTCGGCTGACACAGGGAATATTCGAACACTGTCCTGACTTCAGGGAAGCCGTGTTGCAGCAAGAGATCATATCCTATCTGGCACCGTTTATTGTGAGCATGCCGGAATTGTATGTTTAGGACTGATGTATTAATTTTTGTAATATATGTATATGTATGTATATATATATATATATATATATAGCAGACTATCTTCTATTTGAAACTTTTCGTTGGGGGCGTGACCCATAATTATCAAAACACTCGTTTCTCCCGCCGTGTTGTATGCACTCATTACATTGTCGTGTATAGTTATAGTTCCGAAGTGTCGCTATATATTACCCACACTGTGTACATCTCATACTTCTCCTGGTTAATTGTCCTGTATCTGCCTCTCCCCTCAGGTTTGACCACATGCTACGCATTCGGCTGGGCTCACTGATCGAAGCCATGAAGAGCGATCTGTTCCTACAACACAACCTATCATCCAGGCAAGTAGACTCTATTTTGAGGTGATATTTTACGTTTTTGTGGTAACGTTGTACGTTTAGAGCTATCTGTTTCTACAACACACCCTATCATCCAGGCAAGTCTTTTTGGGGTAGAATTATACGTTTTTGTTGTAATGTTGTACGTTTAGAGTGATCTGTTTCTACAACACAACCAATCACGCAGGCAAGTAGACTGTATTTTTGAGGTGATATTGTACGTTTTCTGGTAACGTTGTGTTTTTGGAGCGATCAATTCTATCAACACAGCGTATCGCCCAGACAAGTAACTCTAATTTTGAGACTCATTTAGACGTTTTCATGTTACAGCTGTACGTTTAAAGCTATATGTTTCTACATCACAACGCATCTTCCTGGGTGTTTTGAGACGGAATGGAATGTCTGTATTTAAACGTTTTACGTTTAAAACTGGTGTTCTGGCAAGTTGCCAACTTTTTTTTTTGATTTGTATCGGTTTCACGGTAAACATTATTGGATATTTACAACCTGACAACCATTTGAACGTTTGTATGGTAACGTTGTGCGCTCAGAACTGATTTCCAGTAGTTTCTTTGCTCATATTTTAACTTTTTCATTCTCACTTGGAATATATATGACCTGACGTCTATGAAACCGTTTATATGGTAACGTTGAACGTTTATAGTCTGACATCTAGGCAGGCCAATGTTCGTCGCGTAGGGAGTTTCACATATGCACGTTGACGTTGAACGTTTAGAGCAATTTTCTCAGCCAATACTTGTTTGTTCGTCTTGTGTTTCAAAATAATGTTCATGTGTACGATTTAGATCCAGTAGACAATGTGTTTGCTTGGGTTGGGCTTCTGCTCCCTCCGATTGCGTAGGGTAACGTTTACTAGTGAACGTTTATTTTTTACCATCTAACTTACTTGCGTGTCTGTTGTTTGTTTATTGATTGTGTGAGTGTTCTTCACAGAGTGAACATTGATGGTTGTTAGAGGTTTTAGGGTTTAGGGCTCCAAGTTATATATCCAGGCAAACGATATATATATATATATATTATGTATATATATTTATATATATATATATATATATATATATATATATATATATATATATATATATATATTATTATTATATTATATATTAT